CCTATTTTTGCATATCAGGTGACGATATTGATGACATCCCGTCTCCGAAAACCTACATGATTCATACCCATGTTATGTAATAATCGAGCTGGTTTTCATGTAAAAATCAAATGGAAAATAATACAACGCCTACAAAATATATGCAATACAATAATTTTACCACAAAATTATGCGCTATTTTTCAACCTAAAACTAAGCTGACTTGGTTTGGGAGGTTTGGGAATCGAATGACCGTTAGCCGAATAAGACTATCTCAATTTGTATCACTATTTGTTTGAGAAAGGCTGTCCGGTTAGGAAAATAACTCAATGTATCCTTTTAACCAATCATAATCATGTGACGATATTGATGACATCCCGTCTCCGAAAACCTACATGATTCATACCCATGTTATGTAATAATCGAGCTGGTTTTCATGTAAAAATCAAATGGAAAATAATACAACGCCTACAAAATATATGCAATACAATAATTTTACCACAAAATTATGCGCTATTTTTCAACCTAAAACTAAGCTGACTTGGTTTGGGAGGTTTGGGAATCGAATGACCGTTAGCCGAATAAGACTATCTCAATTTGTATCACTATTTGTTTGAGAAAGGCTGTCCGGTTAGGAAAATAACTCAATGTATCCTTTTAACCAATCATAATCATTCCCTTACCACNAGAAACAGTACTCACGATTAAGCGATATTTGTATTTCCCGTCTCCAATATCGTGTTTTCCCACTTTGAATATCGTCCATTGTGGTCCGGTGAAATTCAGCTGTTTATCCGAAAGCAATTGGCACAATCTTTTGCGAGTCTGAAGCACACGCAAGGAACAATTTTGGTCATTTCGGAGGTGATCGTGAGCAACACATACTTACCAGTGGTTCAAATTCTTGCCGTTCACTTTCTGTCGGATCTGCTCTGTCTGTCAGATCGGCCATCGCGTGGCTGATTGTCAGAGCAAGGAACAGCCACGAGATCAGGGATGCTTTCATGCTGTGTTGGGTCAGGGATTCTGGATGTCCGTTTTGTGAGCGGTGGTGCTGGTGGTGGATGAAGGTGTAAGGGTTAGTTTTGGAGAATAGAGTGATACGTTAAGGTCACACAGAGAACACTCAATTGCTGCTAGTGAAACCACACATTTGTTGAGTGAATCTGATTTCCAAACAACAACATTTCCATTGAAAATAAAATCCGATCGGTGAAACAGCTTGAGGTGAATCTTAGTACAGTGTGTACAAAGCGATCGATCCTACGTGTGTCAACATTCTGAATGAGCCCCCTCCAGCCGTCTGTCCGTTCAGCTACCACGGATTCCTACGAAGCGGATCAGCTTTCGCCTACGCACATCCAATTGAGTCCAGTTATGAGCTTTCGCTGCGTTCGCAGGACTGTAGCAGCTGTGGCGACCACTCGACGTTTCACTGAATTTGGACGGTCGCGTACATTGCGCCACTGTACGGTCAGTTCTGCATTAAGGTTGTGACCTTGAATTTGTGCATAGAAAAAATCCATCGCCGGGTGGTTTTTGACAATCGATGCTTACGAAGACTAACCCGGGTGGTATAGAGTGAGCGGGTTAGTAACCTAGAGGTAAGTCGATGGGTATTTGGGAATATATCGAACCAGAACTCGCGGGCGATTCGAATTCCACTCGATGGGGAGCTTACTGAGCTGAATTCGAATTGGTTAGGATACGTTTTCTTTATGTCCAACGGTCCCCTACCGCATATTGCAGCGGCCGCTGCAGACCGAAGAAAGCCATGTGGAGGCCAGCAAATGACGGGAAGACGAAGCATGAGGAACTGCGCAGAGCGATTAGGTAAATTAGGTGTTTCTCTTCTTGCGGGTTTATTCCGTAACCGGATGGTTGGAGACACTAAAGATCATAGCAGCAATCCAACAACAGTGATGATCTTGATGTTACTTCTTATCAGACTGGAGTACGTGAAATAGTGTATACGCACAGCTGGACTGAGTTTTGACTGCAAAGGTTTACTTCCTTTCCCCTCTACCCTCAAGTTGCCTAATTCCTATATTCCATGTACATTCTCACTTACCTTGTATGCAATATGAACTTGGCAGCGATCAGTGAAGTTTACCTCACTGTACTACGCTGCACGATGATGATACCACAATCATTGAGCAATTTTGTTTTGCAGTTCAGCCACATACATTCTTTCGGTGTCAGCTATATATTCGTTGCGCTATATTATCGTGCTTGGTGAATGCGTTGACTGTCGAACATAAAATGTGTTCTGTTGTTGCAGCTAGATTCATTTGTGCCAAACTCATTGAGTAGAACACTGGAACACTGTATCCCGAACGCGGCAATGAATAGCTGGTGTCTGTTCGAATGGTGTTCAATGCAGCGATTGCACTTGGTTCAGGGTTCGCACTTACATTCCATGCACACACGCACGCACACACACGAGTGAGCACGCGTGCACTTATGCACTATTTAGAATTAGTTGCTATCATCCAACGGACGGTGAGCAATCATCTGCGCTGAAAGTAGTGACAATAATATGGCGCTCGTTAGAGACTTGGGTTATATCTTCCCACTACTACTATTACAGATTCACTATGCAAATTATTCACCCTCAAATGAGACAGAATTACTCACCAGAAAAGGAGGACAGATTGTCGTGTACTGGAGATAGGTTGCCGACGCGACTATTCACCAATGAAAGCGCAATATTATGTATATATATGAGCAATCAAGTAAATGAGTCAGTTTATTTTGTGAGGTTCATTTGAGGATAAGTGTTTAAGGTGCATTGACCGTCATTTCCACCTCCACCCTCGTGTCTAAACAAATTGGCATGTGTTACTCTAGTTGTATCTGTGCCTGTGTTTGCGGCCTTTTCAGGACACCAGAGAGCATTCTTTCTCTCGGTCTGTTTCTTGCCGATTCCTCGCTGTACGTGAAGATTACCGACGAAGGGATTTATTTCTTGTTCGCTAGTCATTTGGTTTGAATACCTGATGTTAAAGTGTGCATAATCGTTTTGAGTTCATGGTATCACACACACACACACACACACACACACACACACGTATCACATTATTGATCTATTCCAACTGGAGTGTTTCATGACACAGGGAAGAGGTCAACTACCAAGCTGATCTGAAATGGTGGCTTCTCCGTTTGACCTGGCAGTTCACGGTTGTACAGTTTCATACTTATCTTGCTATACGAGTGATAAACAAACGAACAAACTGTGCTGTAAAACATGCATACCTTTTGCACTCCTGAAATTAGTTTAGCTATCCTCAGCAGAATTTCAATTTGAGATCACATTTCTGACAAATTCTGGCAAAATGATTGATTTGAAAAGAGGAGCCCGTATAGCAACATTGCACGATTTATGTCCTGGACGATTTCGCTGCATCTTAGCTGGTGCCTACTGCAAACAAATACAATGTTTATATAGGGTTTGGGAATGAACTACAAAATAAACACTTGTAAATGGAGGGGAATCGTCGCCAAGGTAATGCCACTTTGATAAACAAATCTTTTTGTTGACAGAATTGGTTTCCATCGGCTGAATGCAATCGCCTCGGCGATCTTGAGCATTCTGGGGTTATCGTTAGTAAAAATCACTCGAAATGCTTTCTCGTGATCCACAAGGTGTTGTGTCATCAACAAGTACTTGGCAATCGAAGAAACTTGGTAGTTTGTAAGCACGGACCAGATGGAACTATGTTGCGATCGATCTATCGTAAAACAACTTGAACAGGTCAGTCTTGGAAGTCTTGTGCCAGCTGCATATAAACGTGGTCTTGTTCATACTCTTTTCGATAGAATCCAGCAATTTATACTGATGACACAATATCAGATCAGTGTTGTACGTCACATGTTAACAGTAAATGGTTATCCTGGAGAGTTTGTTGACAGACACAGTAGATTGAAGATTGAAAAGCCCGTTGTTGCGTCAGCGTCTAGATTGGAGATCACGATTTGTCTTCCATTCAAAGGTGATGATGTCACTTATCTAATTCACCAACGGTTACGATCGGTTGTCAACCGGACTTATTACGCAGCCTAATTCAGCATTGTGCACAGGACAAGGAGTATAACAGCTCCCCCTCCGGTTGAAGAACACTCACCTCCGTACGCCAACTCGAAAGTAATCTATAAATTTCAATGTGGGTGCGGAGACACTTACATAGGCAGAACAGTGCCTGGTGCCTGTGGAAAACCGAATGGCCTAATCCAAACATTCACCATCTAAATTGATTGAGCCATTCGCACAAGGTGATGACCGTTGTCTGTGTAGATCAAGNCGAAGAATCGCGGTTCGAGACCTGACAGGGACACAAAACGTACGCACAGCTGACGACTCCCAAACAAGACGAAACAGCTGTCCAGTGCTCTTTGTTGGTTATCGCGTTTAAATGTATATAAACAGAGGTGAATTAACGATCTGCCAAGCAGTGAAGCTCACAACCAACATCACCAACAGTGTCTGGTGCCTGTGGAAAACCGAACGGGCTAATCCAAACATTCACCATCTAAATAGAACAGAAAGAAAATTACCTAATCCGGTTTTAGAACACATTCCGAACTAGGTTCAACGCAAGGTTGTCATGGAAAAGTCCGCACAGCCAGTAACTAGTATGGTCCGTGCTGACAAACCACCAAGCTCTTCGATTGCCAAGTACTTGTTGATGACACAACACCTTGTGGATCACGAGAAAGCATTTCGAGTGATTTTTACTAACGATAACCCCAGAATGTTCAAGATCGCCGAGGCGATTACATTCAACCCATGGAAACCAATTCTGTGTTAACAAAAAGTGGGAGGCTTTCAGTTGGAGTTAACAGGTTGTCATCTGTCTTCCTTCGTTGCTGTCGGGCCAAATTAACCGATCGACTATCACTGAAGATAACACCTGAACAAACACGAATTGGCAATTCGATTCAACCATGGTATGAGCTGGTTGGCACAGTGGTAACGCACACACTTCCCATGCGACGGTTCCGGAGTTCAAATAGTGGACGGGACGATGGATATGCACTACTGATGAGCTCCAATAAGAGGGAAACTCGAGTCTACTGCTTCTGAGTGTATGATTGAGTCGACGAACTGAACATTGTGCGTGAAGGTGAAGTCCGAAGGATAGTCAATTAAAATCAATCAATATCAACAAAAAAAATTTGTTCATCAAAGTAGTTTTGCCTTGCTGACGCTTCCCCTCCAATTGTTTATTTTGTAATTCATTCCCAAACCCCATATAAACATTGTATTTGTTTGCAGTAGGCACCAGTTGAGATGCAGTGAAATCGTCAGGATACAAATCGTGCAATGTGGCTATAATCGCTTCTCTTTTCAAATTTATCACAAGTAAACCTTGTTTCAGTTTCAATATGCTTGATGTCTTCAAAACTGAATCGAAAAATTGAGGTGTTGCGTCGATTTGTCTTGGCCCGGGTCGTCCTGAATCAGCGCCAGAACTAGCCCCACGGTGGTTGTCGATGTGTTTCACTACAGTGACTGGTTTGGTACGAGTTTCTCTTCAGCCAAGTTTGATTTGTTCGGTTGGCTTCTCCTGGCGCTCGACGGGATCTGTACATATCTCAATCACATCGACACGATATCGCACAAATGAGATGGTTTCTTTGGTGGTCTCTTTTGCGCATTTTTCGATCACACATTACTGTGTGAAAAAGGGCAGTTGGGGGACAACCCAGATATCCTCAATAGAAGTTATTGTTCCCTCTTATTCGATTTAATTAACTTTCACCACGCGAAAAAATTAGGTGGCATCGTTGGGCAATTTTTCCTACGTCGGTGGTGATTTAATGGATGTTTCAATAACTTTTGAATGTGGGGTTTGAAACCAATTGATGCAAAAGAAACTTCTTTGTTATATATTATGTATATTTTAAGACACACTAAAAATGTTGTTTTTTATTCATTCATACTCTTTTTTCTCGTCCGTTTTTCTTTACATTTTTACTTCCTTTTATCGAATATGCAATGGCACA